CCACCACCGTTACTACTGGTTCGGCTGATCCGGGCCAATCTGGCAGCAACCCATCTCTGCAGAAAATAATCCCTAATGGGTCTTTTAGAGAAAAATATAAATATAAGACCTGGTCTTATTTTCGGGAAAACACAATGCCAATGTTTCAAGCTACGTATGAGATTCTAAATTTTAAAAAAGAACATTGCCGACCATCAACAATTTTTGCAGCAAACTTAATTCCAATCACCAAGAGGCTATCAATGGCTATCCAACATCTTTAAGAAGATGCTGGATAGCCATTTGTCTGAAACGGTATAGGGTTTCCTGCCTAGGCAGGGGGTTGGACTAGAAGACCTCCAAGGTCCCTTCCAACTCTGCTATTGTATTGTATTGTATTGTATTGTATTGTATTGTATAACAATTCCTCCTAGTGAATTACACCAGGACTTAATATTTTCATGTATTCTGCTCCCATTTCTCCAAAGAGCAGGTGAATGTTGTCATCACCTTGTGCTGTGCCATGTGTATAGCTTTTGATGCAAAAGCATGGGGAGAGTACTACACAATACAGAATGTCTTACCCCAGAGCCACAGTAACGTCCAAGACGTGGAGCTGTTCCATCGTAGCCATCAAATAGCTCCATGTAGTCATAGCCACAGTCGGCCTCTTCCTCAATCTCAAACGTTTGGAAGATGAGTTCAACCCCATAGCCTTCTTCAGCCACAATCACCCATTCACAGTCTGAACCCCCAGGATAGTTGTTGTCTCCAAATTGCGCGTGGGAATAAAGATCCTTGGTTTTCACCTCAGCTCGCATCTGGCCCCCGCATTCTGGAAACAACAAAATACACAAACATAAATTAGGAAGCTTGGCTAACCCAGAATTGGGTTAGAGGGAAGGGACAAAAAGTCTGGACAACAAGGAAGAAGAAGGTCCCGGTGGTCACGTTGCATTTATGGTCTTCACACATCATGTTTTTGGCCTCCGCACGTTGCATTTTTGGCTGGTTCCAGGTGGTGGGGATCCCCGCCACCGATCTCTGCCACTGACAACGGGCCAAAAATGCGATGCATGGAGACAAAAAAGGGGTTGTGCAGAGGCCGAAAACGCAATGCGTAGAGGTGGCAATCAGCGGTGATGTGCTGTGGTGATCCTAGCAGCCCGGAACAGGTCTAAAATGGAGTGTGTGGAGGTTGAAACATGATGTGCGGAGGCGGCGATGGGCCGTGGCGATCCTCGCAGCCTGGAATAGCTGATTGGCAGTATTCCGGGAGGCCGATACAACTGCTCATGCTGAGTCAGGCTGCGATAATGTGCTGAAGCTAACCAGGCTGTTTGCTGTTTGCTGCAAGGACTCTACCCAGATGAATACCAATGGATGCTGGTAAGCAGAGGCAGATTTTTTTTCTTGTTTTCCTCCGCAAAAACTAATGTGCATCTTATACTCCGAAAAATACAGTATTATGGGGAAGGATGAAGGGTGGCAGTCTTGACTTACCAACAACTTTGAGCTGCGATGATGGCAACATTGGAGGTCTCTTATCAGCTTTAGAAGCCTTTTCCTCACTACTATTCAGGTGGAGTCCTGCCACAATATAATAACGAGCCAGCACGGGGGATTACCTGATGTGTAGGTCGCCTCAAAGCCTTTCTTTTGAATAGAGTTGTCTGAAAAAAATTTGAGGAACATCCTGTTGCTTGTAGAGAAGATAGGATCTGGTTCTTTAGAGCCACAAAATCGTCCCAGGACAGAAGCTTTTGCATCTCTGCCGTTGTAAACCTCTACATGATCATATGTGCATTCCTGGTGGAGTTCAATATCCAGCTCTCTGAAGGTCTGAAAAAGAATTGCTGTTTAAAAAAAAAAGGAGACAGTGCATGTACAATACTTTTGAGCCCTAGCCAACAAAATGAAATTTAATGTAGAGAAAAGATAGGTGTGTCACTTAGGCAGGAAAAACCAAATGTACAAGTACAGATTTTGGGGGAAACCTGCTTGGCTCAAAAACTGGGAGAGGGATCTTGGAGTCCTAGTGGATGATCATTTAAATATGTGACAGCAGTGTGTGGCAGCTGCCAAAAAAGCTAATACGATCCTTGATTGCATAAACAGAGGCATAGAATTAAGATTACATGAAGTATTATTATTGGTCCCAAAGGTGCTTTTTTCAACAGGCAAGTGTACTTTCTGGGTGTCAGGGTTCCAAATAGCATCCAAAATTAAATCAGAGTACAAGGCAAAGCATTCCTCAAAGTTCCAGTTTGGCACATCTGGGAAAACCCGAATCTGAAAGCTTTCGGGTTTTCCCCACCCAGTTGAAAGTTCAAGATCTTGCCTGCACACCCACAAGTCCAAATCACATGGTCCAATCTTCCACTGCCATGCTGACAGTTCCACCCATCCAGTTCGGTGCAGAAGTGGAAAAACAAAGAATGACCTTGGCTTTCTAGAAAGAATTTTGTTATGGCTACANGCCGAATTTTTGGCGACAGCTGTTGACCTGCTTGACTGAGAATCTCCATAGACACCTTGAGTTATATGTCGTGAAGATTGAAAATTAATAATAACAATGAAGGAGCAAGACGGGGGCTTGGAAAGGATGCTAGCCTGGACCCAGGGGTCGGCTGCTATGAGTTTGCCCGGGTTAGCGAGAACCCGTAGCTAACGTTATAGCCGGTTCGGAGAACTTCCAAATCCCACCTCTGGCTGGCCCCGTCCACCATGCCTCGCCCCTGCCACCCCACCACGCCCCTCCCGGCAGTCTCCATGTAGCCTGTTTTGGATGTGAGGTAAATACAGGGCTCGCCCGGAGGCTCCAGGAGGGGGGAAAACGGGCCTCCCGGAAGGCCTCTGGAGCCTATGGGGAGGCAATTTTCGCCCTCCCGGAGGCTCGAGGAAAACCTCTGGCGCCCGGGGAAGACGAAAACTGCCCTCCCTCCGCTGTAGTGCAGGAGGCCCACTAGGCCACGCCCACCCAGCAACCCGGCAGAGAACCCGTTGCTGACATTTTTGAAGCCCACCCCTGCCTGGACCCGCTGCTCTTCGGACCTCGTGAGTCGGAAAAGACACCCCCCCTCCCTGACCGACCCTTCCTTTTTCAGCATCTGCGAGCGGGTGACCCCCCGGCTGTCCCACGCCAACTCTGCCGTGGTCCTTTCCGCCGTGAAGGTCTTGATGAAATTCACCGAGATGCTCTCGAAAGATCTCGATTATTACGGGACTTTGCTGAAGAAGCTGGCGCCCCCTCTGGTCACCTTGCTCTCCGCCGAACCGGAACTGCAGTACGTGGCCCTCCGGAACATCAACTTGATTGTGCAAAAAAGGTGAGTTCCTCTTGCACGCCTGGCGAGGGCTGGAAAAAGGGACACCAGCATCCCTAGCACTGGACTAGCTGGATTCACACCGCGAGATCGGTGGTCCAACTGACCACATTTTAAGAACAGTTTTGCTGGAAATCAAAATTGTAAGTTGTGGGCAAAGCCGTCGCCCTAGCCCACCACGGGTTCGCTTAGTGACTCCAGATTCGTTTAACGCCTCCAGATTCGCTTAACCACTCCAGATTCGCTTAAGGTTTAGGTTTATTGACATTTGTATGCCGCCCACTCCCTAGAGCAGTGNCCTTCCTTCCCTCCTATTCATTCTATTTTTCTTTCCTTTCTTCCTTCCTTCCTCCCATTCATCCTATTTTCTCCTTCCTTCCCTCCCTTCTATTCATCCTATTTTTTCTTTTCTCCCTCCCTCCCTTCCACTCATCCTATTTTTTCTTTCCTTCCTCCCTCCCCATCCTATTTTCTCCTTCCCTCCCTCCCTCCCTCTTATTCATCCCATTTTCTTTCCTTCCTCCCTCCCATCTTATTTTCTCCTTCCTTCCCTCCTATTCATTCTATTTTTCTTTCCTTTCTTCCTTCCTGCCTCCCATTCATCCTATTTTCTCCTTCCTTCCCCCCTCCCATTCATCCTATTCTTTCTTTCCTTCCTTCCTCCCCATCCTATTTTCTCCTTCCTTCCTTCCCTCCCTCCCTCTTATTCCATTTTCTTTCCTCCCTCCCTCCTGTCTATTGCTATTGCTATTATTTTCTCCTTCCTTCCTATTCATTCTATTTTTCTTTCCTCCCTCCCCATCCTATTTTCTCATTCCTTCCTTCCCTCCCTCCCTCTTAGTCATCCCATTTTCTTTCCTCCCTCCCTCCCATCCTATTTTCTCCTTCCTTCCTTCCCTTCTATTCATCCTATTTTTTCTTTTCTCCCTCGCTCCCTTCCACTCATCCTATTTTTCCTTCCCTCCTATTCATCCTACTTTTTCCCTTTATTCCCCCATTCATCTATTTTCTCCTCCCTCCCTCCCTTCCATTCATCCTATTTTCTCCTCTTTCCCCCCTTCCTACTCATCCTATTTTTTTCCTTTCCTCCCTCCCTCCCATCCTATTTTCTCCTCCTTCCTCCCTCCCTCCCTCCCTCCCTCCCTCCCCGAAGAAGTAAATTAGCCCTTTTCTTGACCTTCCTTCTGCTGCTAATCCTTCAGTGGGGCCCGTTGTCTTAAACCCATGGCCTCCTTTTCCATCTAAATCTCTCTTCCTGTCTCTTTTTCTCTTCCAGAGGTGACCAAACCAACCAGCCGTCAAGATGAGCGACTCCAAGTATTTCACCACCACCAAAAAAGGTAAGGGGGGGGGGCTGCTGTCTGTGGTTCACCAAGGGAGACCTGTTGTGGCCCAGCAGGAGCCGTTGGAGCTGCCACCAGACTCCGACAGCGAGGGGCCCTCGGAGTCGGCTCTGGAAGAGAAAAAG